TTCAGTAAGGGAGAAAACCCGAGGGTCAATTTCCAGTACAGCGAGAGTTTGCCTACAGACTCCAGAGCCCCAGGGAGGTGCAGAGCCCCGGGTCTCATTACATGGTCATCACTGTCACCTGCGGTCACTGCGGAACTCAGCAGGGTCACCTGTGCACTGCTCAGCATTCACCGTGCTCTTTGTCCTTGCTCTGATGGAGATGGTTTGGGTACCAAACAGAATGTGTGATGAAGCGGTGTTGGAGGGAAGGAGAGAAAAGATCTGAATCGAGGTAGCTGCCAGCAACATTTAATTGAAAAAAGGGTACACCTTTTACAGTGTGTTCTTAAACACAGGGCTAAGTGGGACAAGGGGCATGTGAGTCCGGGTGTGGCTTGAGGTCAGGCTTGAGGAATCTAGCATTGACCTTGACAGCAGGTACCAGCATATGGTAACAAAAGGGTTACAACTTCCTTGCTCTAGGGAGAATGACTGCTTTAGCAAGCAGGAATTTTCCTTCCGCCCCACAGGGGATGGATACCCTTACCCAAATGGACTTCTTCTGGGGAGCAGACACTATATACTACAATTTCTTAGCTCTACTCTATGAGCCTCTTCCCCTCATAACGCTCCCAAAAGGGAATGTTCTGATGTCTCAGTCTTTTCCCATTATACAGCACTATTCTGATTCCCCTGGATTTATTACCTGCGGTGCGTGCAACGGCCTCAGGCTCTGGATCTAAATTGTAGGCATTCCATCCTTGGGTCAGGCCTGTCTAGCAAATCTCTAGCATTACTGATTATTGTTCTAGTGTAATTAGGAGGGCACAACGGAATTCCTGGTTCCATGGTGGTGGGGTTTTGGTTTTTTTTCCAAACTATTATTTTGTTTAGAGAGGCTAAAAAATGTATACACTTTAATCGTTTACCAAAGCCCACACAAATTTTCCAAAAGGAAAGGCATTAATGGCGGGAATTGCTAAAAATAAGAGTGAAAAGGCACTGGAGGAGGGTAGTCTGCAATGTCACATTGCTGGAACTCTGTCAAGCAGCAATGGTCACTGTGCAGTCCACGCCAAATCACTAACTGAGCAAGTGTCCTACAGTGGATCCTATGAAGGCATTTTCTCAACTGAGGTCCCTGCCTTTCAGATAACTCTGACTCCTACCAAGCTGATATAAAACTAGCCACCACATAAGGGAAAGAAAAACAGTTGGATATTATCAGTTATGAGCCAAGGGGGACAAAGATACCTAACGACCTAAAATATCGCTGTGGCTTCTTGTTGGAGTTGGCTATTGAGAAGGGAGGGGGGGTGGTTAAAATCCTAGATAAACTGTGGCTCGCATAGGCCAAATGTGTCTGTGAACCCATGCAGCAGAAACTTCCCTAGTGTTTAAGTGTGACACCTGCTAAATTATATCCCCAGCCTATAAATAAAGTAGGGAAAGACCATGACAACTTCTGGGACTGCGACAACCTAGTTCAGACATTAGCCACACCCAATGGACAATAGGAATTACTGGCACCATCAGAAATGCGCCTGACATATTTCCGTTTAACATGTTTCTTTGAGTAATGCAGACTTTTCAGGTTGAGAAACATTTGCTATTCCACTTCACATAACAGAGGGGGAAAAAAAAGACATTGTAAAGCAATCCCTTTCATTTCTATAATCATTTACTAAAATATTTTATCGCATCCCCAACAGCAATAAGAAAAATCCTTAGGTCCTATAAATATAAAAAGACTGAGAGTTGGAGGAGCTGGGTTGACCTACTTAAGGCAGCACAAAGAGCCAGGATCAGAGCCAAGCTGTGTCTATAAATGATCTCCCTGGTACTGGCCCAATTGTGATTGCCACCAGAAGTCTCCAGAATGAGGAGGTAAAAAAGCTCACGACAGTCTTAGAGAAGTGGCCTGGAATACTGGGTAAGCTGTAGGTCCCTCATCCATTCACAGGCTGACCCAGTACCTGGTCCCAAACAGCAGCAGAGACAAGCGACTGACAGGGATGTCCATAAACATTAACTTTTCAAATTTACCAGTAGCTTTCAAAAACAGTAAGCTAATGAACTTCAAAATATTCTGTCTATGCATTTTCCTAACAATGAGATGATTTTAAATTATCTAATTTACATTTCACTACTAGAAGAAATTTAAATGACAAAGAGCCCATCAAACATATTTGATCACATACAATGATTAGAATATTTTAATTCGCTTTGTCTATAATGGCAACCTAATAAAGGAAATCATCTCTAATATATGGTATGCATTGAACTAGTTTTCCTTTGCTTAATAAAAGAACTACTGAATTTAAATATATGTACACAAAATCAGAGGCTCCAAATCTTAAATATTTAAATAATTTACATGTACATCCATTCACCTGTGAACTTTCACAAATAACTGAACTTTTTAGTATATCTCGATCCGTACTATTTTGCATCAAGTATTTTCCTTTTAATGTTTTAAGTGACACTCATCCAACTGTAACTTCTAGCTTCATCTAAAAACACCCTGAATCTCTGTTACTATCCTTAAGTTATTCTATTCTAAGGAATAAAATCCTAAGACATAAACATTTTAAGATGTTTCTCCAAGTTTAGGGGAAATGTTTACAGCAGGAATGGATTTTCTGCACCTGTGATGGGTAAATATGCCGATGGTACTAAGTGTTAAAACGTTAGCATGGCTGTACACACAGACAAGCATGGTGGTTTCAGAGCACAGTGACTAATAAGACAAAGATTCTGAAAATGTAGGCAAAGAAACAGAGAAGGTGAAAAGTGAAGAAAAGAATTTAAAACTCTGGCAGGTGAAGATGAGAGAGCAGACATGGTATGTAAGGCCCTATAGCTGATGTAAGGCCCCATAGATGATGTAAGGCTCTATGGGTAATGTATGGCCCTATGGGTGATGTATGGCCCTATAGCTGATGTAAGGCCCCATAGATGATGGATGAACCCATAGATGAAGTAAGGCCCTATAGATGATGTAAGGCCCCATAGAAGATGTAAGGGCCTATGGGTAATGAATGGACCTATAGATGATATATGGTCCCACAGATGAATCAAAATAGATTGTAGTACATAGGTTGCAGCTCAATTATAAAAAACAACCAGCTATTAGGTGGCATGGAATATAATTTCCAGAGATGCTTTTAGTTATTAAATGTACTCAGGCATGCGCTAGCTCAAGAACTGGAAAGCTCGGGTTCACAGATTCAGTTCATTCACAGAAGTTTTCGGGGATCACTGCCACTCCTCCATGAATTTCCTTCCATATGCCTCTTGGCTCCACAGCAAATGTGTTGCATAGATGCAAGAACATTGCATGAACTTGCATTTTTGAAACCTTCACTATTTGTCTCTAAGTAGGAAGTATCTATAGACTCCAGTGTTAAAGATACCCAGAAACCAAGCAGACCCTGAACAAGACAGCACAAGCAAATGGTTGATTGCCTGGTGTTTGGGAACAGGGACAACGTTCTACACTCTCCAAGAACTAGGTACTATGAGTTCTTGAGGCCAAATCAGCCCAGACAAGCTGGTGGTGGGCTGAGAGCTCCACTTCAGTCCTGTTGACACAGTGTGGGCTGCACAGCACCAGGGGAACCATGTTTGTCTGACTTGAACAAAGTCCTGAAACACACCCCTGGGATACACATTCAGAACGATGTTTAGGAATGACTTATCTGAAGTCCCATAGCACGACACTTCATCTGGAACAGTGTCTGCTCATTTACAGCCATGACAATGCAAATGAGATTCCCCTGAAGGTCTGCTTGCTTCTGGATACTAAGGACACCGCCCTTTCTCTAAGAAACACATGCCAATCTGCTACTGAAAAAGTAATGTCAGTTAAAAAGACTCAACCCACAGATGTCCGTGTACATTATAATACACAGAATTTTCCAGAGTTGTTTCTGTGGTGATATATTATTTATGATTTAATAAAGCTTGCCTGAAGGATCAGAATGGAAGATAAGCCACAGTCATAGAGATCAGGCAGTGGTGGCCACACCTTTAATCCCAGGACTCAGGAGACAGAGGCAGATGGATCTCTGTGAGTTCAAAGTCAACCAGGGTTACAGGAGAGTGAATCAGTCTAAAAGAGAAACAGAGCTCAGGCCTTTAATCCCAGCACTAGAGAGATCTATAAGAAGAAGCAAAGGGTCTCATGTGACATTCAGTTTCCAGTCACAGGAAGGACGGGATCTCCATTTCAGCCTTTGCAGGGGTGAGAGCTACAGGCTGACTGCTCTGCTTCTCTGATCTTCAGCTTGAACCCCGATGTCTGTCTCGGGGATTTTATTATTCATCTACAATTTCAGTTTGGAATATTTTTATCTTAAGAACTTATTTTAATGTGTAACAGAACTAATGGTCTGGTGATGTGACTCTATTAATAGGCATTTGTAGCGATCCGAGGCTAGAAACTCCTTCAAAGCAGAAATTACATGTTGTCTTACTCGCCACACATTTAGTACATCACTAAGCACACGTGCTAATTCATCAATGAAGAATTGCATTGATTCGATTCTAGAGCATTTAACTAATCCACAAGGTATGTGTATTATTGATTTCATTAATTAAAACAGTATCAGCATAAAAGATCTTACAAATACATTCAACTACAATCCATCTGCTATAGGACATACAGAGTATGCATTCAAGAAATGGAATGTAAGATACTATGTAAGATACATAGTTGACAAATGATCTGACAGACAGAATATACACAGACACACAGACACACACACACAGACAAACACACACTGACACACACACACAGACAGACACACACACACAGACACACACAGACACGCAAACACGCGCACACACACAGAGATACACACACACTCACACTCACACACGCACACACACACTCACACACACGCACACACTCACACTCACACACTCATACACACACTCGCATACACTCACACGCACGCACACACTCACACACACAGATACACACACACTCACACACGCACACACACAAAGACAATTACCTGAAGAAGGTGACAAAAAACTGCACAAGGTCCATGATTGTATTGTGTTGCGAAAATGCAATCTGAAAAATCAAAATACAAGAAACTGAAATAAACTGATCCTAAATTCTTTAAAACCTGTGTTGATAGTTCACAGCATTTGTAAATGATATTTCTAAATAAGCAAGACAGTTTACATCATCATACCATACGTAAAATATGTACATGAAAATGTTACCTGGAATACCAAATTATTAAAGTAATGGTGATCATTATACAGATTATGATATTAGGCAGTTATGATCTATTATAAAATCAAACCAGATATGTAAGCTATGAGTTCCATGTGAAATACTATGATATATTAAATGCACCTAAATAGAAACTTGCAATTGAGTTTCTTTATCTAAGTAGTGATCATGTTTTCAATTACCACAGTTGATAATTACTTATTTGAAAGAAACTCAACTATATTATCAGAAACCAGAAAAATTTAACCTCCCCACAGATCTTTGTCCTCAAAAGTGAAATGCATACATACATACATTTTATTCTTGCACACTGAAAGAAAAATAACAATTCCACATTAATAATAAATAAACTTTACAATGTGAACCTAGCAAAGTATCTAAATTTTTCTCCCTTCCAGTGAACATCATAGGTCCTGAACTATAACATCCTTCTTTAGAAACTATTGTATACCATGAGGCAATAGCATAATGGCTCATGGAGAAGCATAATGGATTGGGAATAATACCTCTCATAATAACCTCCTATGTTTCAGAAAACTGTAGAGCTATGTATCTCAGGTGTCCTGTACTGAATGCTAATGAAGAAAGCATCTGCGTCATAGTGTCAGAAGAAAACAAAGAAATAGAAATAAAAATATAATAAAAAGTTAAGTCTGTAACGTTAAGCATAGCTTAGGTATGATGTAACAAATACTGACCTTTTATAACATATACAAATAAAATAGTCAACAGCAGTGAGTATCCATACACAGCTGAAGCTAAACTTAAGATATGGCTAGCGTGTTTCTTTTTAGTGATCTTTCAATAATATCTTTAGAGGACATATCAAAATAGATTAATAGTGTTGAATATCCTCTTACGTTTTAAACAGCTATGAGACTGGGGGAAATGAAATTCAGATCCTGCATGAATGACAGAGAAGGCCTGTAATTCTGAGTCCAGAACCACATAGACGCACCCTAAGCATGTTCCAGGTTTCAGCGTGGCCTCATTGGACAAGAAGGAGAGAGAGACATTGTCTGAGGTTTGATTTTTGTGTGTGTTCCCTATGTGAAGGGTCGGTGTGCTGTGTGCAAGTGTGCATGCATGTAGGTGCACACAAATGTACATGCATGTATGCATGTGGATGTATGTGCATCTATGTGTTGCACATGTACTGTGAGTGACCCAGACCATGAACACCTGTGAGCGTTCGGGGTGACTATGTTACCACTAGATGTAGATGCACTATAAGCCCCCATTTGAAATTTTAATTAGAAATTAACTAATTAATTAATTAAAACCTTAAGTCAATTAAGCAACTAGATTCCTGGATTACAAATGCAAACTAAAATATATAACATTCATGTCCAACAAGTTTCTAAGCAATTGAATTATAAACGAAGGTATAATTAGAGTAGCTAGAGGAAAAAAGTATTTTAAAAGATGAAATTAAAAACCAAAAAAACTTTTTAAAATACAGAAGATATTAAAGGTTTTTATTCCATATTAGAATCTGGTGGAAATATAGTTTATTGAAAATTATATTAAATGCCTTAAATGTTAAGGAGAACTACAAATATTGCAATTAAGAATTATCTGGGTGATCTTTTAAAGGTAAACATTTTTAAATAAGACTAAAGAAAATGAGCTGGATTTAGGGAAGTTATAAGATGACCTCAGAGAGAGTACATACCATGTTCTTCTTTTTGTGACTGGGTTATGGAGCAAAGGATTGCCAGCCTATAATTCACAATGCCAGAGGAACCCAAGAGATTCATACAAGGTCCCTCCCAGAGGTGGAAAGGAATAAGATCTCCTGAGCATATGGGGAGTGGGGGGGGGGGAGCGTAGTGAGTGGAGAGAGAGCTAGGAGAAAGACAAGGGGAGGAGAGGGAAACATGTGGGACTAGGAAAATTGAGTCAGGGGAGGAACAGATGAGAGAGAGAGAGAGAGAGAGAGAGAGAGAGAGAGAGAGAGAGAGAGAGAGAGAGCTGACTCTAGAGAAATGTCCAGAGTCCTACAAGACTGACCCCAACTAACAATTTGAGCAATAGTGGAAAGGCTACCATAAATGTCCTTCCCTGATAATGAGATTGATGACTAACTTAACTACCATCATAGAGCCTTCATCTAGTAGCTGCTGGAAACAGAAGCAGACACCCATAGCTAAACACTGAGCTGAACTGGAATCCAGATGCAGAGAGGGAGGACAAGACCAGGCTACAGAAACCAGCAGAGGCAGCTGACCTGAACAAGGGTGAGCTCAGACTGATAGCTGGGAATCCAGCATGTACTGACTCAGATACCCCTGAATATGGGTCTTAGCTAGAAGGCCTGGGCAGTCTAAGGGACCTCTGACAGTGGATCCAGGATGTATCCCTGATGCACGAAAAGGACTTTGGGAGCACATTCCCCATGGAGGGATGCTCCCTTAACATAGAGGCAGAAGGGAGTGCCTAGTCCTTACTCCAAATGACTTACAGATTTGTTGATCTCTCCTGGAAGGCATCACCCTCCCTGTGCAGTGGGGGTGGGGTGGGGGGATGGGAGAGTCGTGGGGGGGCATGGGAGGGAGGGAAGGAGAGGGAACTGGATCGATATGTAAAATAAGAAAAAAATAAAAATTAAAAAAAAAATACCCCAGAGAGCACCAGGAATGCTATGAGACTAGAAGGCAACTTAAAGGCAGCATCCAGTCAACCACAAGTACATAGAAAGGAGCTGTGCAGGATTGAGCCAGAGCAGCCTCTCCTCTCCTGCCTGAGAAGAAAAGATCACCACAGACAGAAAGGAAGAAACCCTGTGCAAATGTCTTAAATAAGAGACACCTAGGAAACATTCTAGAACAAACATTAAATGCCACTTAGGATCTCAGTGGGGAGTGGAATTTACAAACATGGAAAAGAATGTCAGTATCTTTTGAAATCACAAACACCTCCGGTATTTCATAGACACAGGAGGGGAGTGTTCTGAGCCACGATGTTATCAGAAACAAAAAGGAGATGTGAAATTAGACCAGTCAGAAGCACCTTGCCTCCAGCTGGCCACCTCCCTGCCCGCAGTGCTACAAGGACTACAGCCTGCCCTGCGGTTTACCTTGATGTGCAAACTGAAATCAAAGAGCATTCCTGGCTTTTGTGAAAATGCCCAAATCCTTCTTATTTTGTCACTGACAGAGCATATACTTGACTCAAATTTTAGAAGTGTTAGTGCTTTTCATAATTCTACTTTGCAGAACCTTTAGCTAAATGGTCTTAAAAGTGCAGCTGTTATCACGATTGTCTGTTTTATTTACCTCAATTACTTTCTGCACAACTTTGTGCCCTCCCCACTTTGCCTGGGCACCCCTTGCTTTGTCTTGCTTTTTACCCTGGTGAAAGCGGTAATTATTGTAGCTCTAGAGATGTGGCAAGTCAGGGTTATAAACACTGTGCTAGCAGTGTCCCATAGATTTAATATTCCAAAGCTTTCCATTGACTAAGCTTCTTTTACTATTTTGAAAATACAGTTTTACTTAAATTTTACTAGAATATATATATATAATATGTATTATATATATATAAAACATTGCCCCAAAACTATGTTTCAACTGTGAAAAATTAATTTTCTCTACGTAATTCTCTAGTTCTCCAAATAGTAATGGATTCCATGTTTCTTAAATTCTTCTAGCTGCCGACTGCTGTTGGGTTCATGACACTCTGGAAGTTCAGGCTGTGGTATGTCTATAGCTCCTCAGCCCACACTGTGCTTACATTGTATAGTTGTACCCTAAACTGACATCACAACCGCTACAGTTGAAAATCCATTAAGCTACTCAGCAAGGCCATGGTGCACCAACTACTACTGCTTTTGGGCGAGTCCTGATGCCCCCAGCATCTTTGTGAGCATCACTCTAGCACACGAAGCGTTCGACGCACCTTTAACTAACAGGTGTCTCAGCGGAAGGAACAAGCAGGAACACTACGATCGCTTGAGGTAAGCACAGCACAGGACTTCAGGCCTGCATGTGAGCAGCCACCCTGCTGCCCTGTGCATGTAATAGCAATGTAAACTTCAGAAGAAAACCATGGTTTAAGGCGAGACACGTATAAACGTACCCGTATTTTTTCAACAGTTGCCTGAAAACATTTGAATAAATGAAGTAATTAGGTAGGATTCCACAAATTGTAGCCGTGATGTGAGACATTCAAGTACTCTAAAACTTGAATTAACTACAGTCTCTATCTCTACCTGTAAGTCAGAAAAACTTTAAAGTTATTCTGTAAGATATACATGTTTGTTGGTTTTTTTTTTTTTTCTTTAATTTCAGCTTGTATTTAGAGGACAAACTAAGATACCAAGACCAGGAGGTAATAATATCTTTAAATATTGAAATTCTAATTGAAATTCAACACAGTCTGCCTTTCATAATATGGAATACTATGTGAGGGAAAACTGGTAAGGATCGGGCCTCTGCCAAAAATGGCACAGGAAATACAAACCACCTTAGGAAGAACACTCCTGAAGAAGCCACTCCTCCCTAAAGAGCCGAGGGAAGTTACTGGCTGGGACGGGGAAGGAGGTCCCCATTTCCTTCAGGGCCATAGTCCCCCGTGTTCACAATACCAATACCATGGAAGCAAGGCTAACCAAAGCAGTCTGGTCACAAAAACGCAAACAATAGGCAGGAAAACAGGAGGGTGACTGTGGTGGTTTGGAAGAGAATGTTCCCCATAGGCTCAGATATTCTAATGCTCCTAACAGGGACTGGAAGGGTTTGGGGAGGGTTAGAAGGGCTGGAAGGTACAAGCTTGTCAGAAAAGGTGTCACTGAGGCCGAGACTGTGCTGAGCCCACACCAGGCTCTCTCT